CAGGACACATCATAATTACATTACCCAAGGTTAAAGATAAGGAGAGAAATTTAAAAGCAGCAAGAGAAAAGGAGAAAGTTACCTACAAAGGAGTTCCCATAAGACTATCAGCTGATTTCTCAAAAGAAACCTTGCAGGCAAGAAGGAGCTGGCAAGAAGTTTTCAAAGTCATGAAAGGCAAGGACCTACATCCAAGATTATTCTATCCAGCAAAGCTATCATTTAGACTGGAAGAGCAGATAAAATGCTTCCCAGATAAGATCAAGTTAAAGGAGCTCATCACTAACCCCTTATTATATGAAATGTTAAAGGGACTTATCTAAGAAAAAGATGATAAAAAACTACGGATAGTAAAATGACAACAAACTCACAACTATCAACAACTGAGCCCCCCAAAAAACCCCAAAACATAAATAAACTAAGCAAACAACTAGAACAGGAACAGAATCACAGAAATGGAGATCAGAAGGTTAGGTGGGGGAATAGGGGAAAAGATACAGGGAATAAGAAGCATAAATAGTAAGTACAAAATAGACAGGGGGAGGTTAAGAATAGTATAGGAGATGGAAAAGCCAAAGAACTTATATGTATGACCCATGGACATGAACTAAGGGGTAGGGGAATGCTGGTGTAAGGGGTGTACTGGGCAGAGGGGAATAAAGGGGAGAAAAATGGGAAAATTGTAATAACATAATCAATAAAATATATTTAAAAAAAGAACAGGAACTTGAAAAATAAAATAAATTTTAAAATACCACGATCTGACAACATGCTGCCTATAAGAGACTCACTTTAGCTTTAAGGACACACATGAACGAAGAGTGAAGGGATGGAAAAAGATATTGCAAGCAAATGGTGACCAAGAGAAAGCAGGAACAGCTATCCTTATATTAGATAAAATAGACTTTAAACTAAAAATGCTCAAAAGAAACAAAGAAGATGATTGTATAATGGCAAAGGGGTCAATTCATCAAAAAGATATAACAATTATTAATATTTATGCCCCCAATATGGAAGCACCTAAATATATAAAGCAAATACTAACAAAACTGAAAGGAGAAATAAATAGCAATACAATAATAGCTGGGGACTTTACTACCCAACTCTCAACAAAAAAAGAATCATACAGACAAAAAAACCGATAAGGAAATAGCAGATTTGAACAGCACTTGTATGTAGACTATATGGATTCAACAGATATATAAGTATATCCCATCAATCAGCAAAAGAATACAGATTCTTATCAAGCAACCATGGAACATTTTCAAGGATAAATCATATGGTAGGCCACAAAACAAGTCTCAACAAATTCAAAAAGATAGAGAATATAATAAGTATCTTTTCCAACCACCATGGAATAAAACTAGAAATCAATAAGGAAGAAAGTTGTAAAATTCACCAATATGTAGAAATTAAACAAAATAGTCCTGAACAACCAATGGCTCAAAGAAATCAAAAGGAACTTTTTTTAAATATCTCAAGACAAATGACACACCAGACCTTAGGGGATGGAACAACTGCAGTACATTGGAGGGAAATCTGTAGCTATGAATTTCTAAATCAAAAAAAAAAAAAGATCTCAAATAAAGAACCCAACTTTACACCTCAAGGAACTAGAAAAAGAACAAACTTAGCCACAGCAGGAAAAAATAAAAAATAAAAAACAGATTCACTGCAATCCCAATCAAAATTCTAATGGCATTTTTCACAGAACTAGAAAAAACAACCCTAAAATGTATATAGAACCACAAAAGCTCCCAAAGAGCCAAAGAAATCTTGAGAAAGAACAAAGCTGGAGACATCTCACTTTCTGATGTTAAACTATATTACAAAGCTATAGTAAACAAAACAATACAGTACTGGCATAAAACAGACACATAAATCAATGGAATACAATAGAGAGCCCAGAAATAAAACCATACACGTGTGATCAATTATTCTATTACAAAGGAGCCCAGAATATAGTGGGGAAAGGACAGTCTCTTCAATAACTACTGTTGGAAAAACTGCAGCGCAAACAAAAGAACGCAACTGGATCACTACACAAAAATTAACTCAAAATGAATTAAAGGCTTGAACATAGACCTGAAACCATAAAACTCCTAGAGAAAAACACAAGCACGGGTCTTGGTACTTATTTTGGAATTTGACACCAAAGGCAAAGGCAACTAAAGGAAAACTAAACAAGTGGAACTACATCAAACTAAAAAGCTACTACACAGCAAAAGAAATGATCATCAAAATGAAAAGACAACCTACAGAAGGGGAGAAAATATTTTCAAACATTACATTATCTGATAAGGGGTTAGTATCCAAAATAGGTAAGGAACACAGATAACTTAATAGCAAAAAATAAAAAACAAAAAATAAAAATAAAAATCCCATTTAAAAATGGGCAAACAACCTAAATAGACATTTATGCAAAGAAAGATATTCAAATGATGGTTGACAAGTACATGAAAAGGTGTTTAACATCACTCATCCGCAGGGAGAGCAAATCAAAACCACAATGAGACATCACCTCAAACCTGTTAGAATGGCTACTATCAAAATGAGAACAAGTGATAGCAAGGATGTGGACAAAGGGGACCCTTGTGCACTGCTGGTGGGAATGCAGATCGGTGCAGCCACTGAGGAAAGCAGTGTGGAGGCACCTCAAAAAAATTAAAAATAGAATGACCATATGATCCAGCAATTCCACATCTGGGTTTACATCCAAAGGAAATGAAATCACTATCTTAAAGAGACTGCACCTCTCTGTTCATTTCAGCATTATTTATAATAGCCAAGATGTGGAAACACCGTAAGTATCCATCAATGTTAGAACAGGTAAAGAAAATGAGATACACACACACAGGAATCCTCTTTAGCCATAAAAAGGACTACTTGCATCTACAGAGGTGGACCTTAGGGCATTATGCTAAGTAAAATAAATCAGAGAAGGCCAAATACTGTATGATCTGATATATATGTATAATATAGAAAAACCAAACTCATAAAACACAGAGTGTATTGGGGGTTGCACAGGGGCGGGGGATGAAGGTGGTCAAAGGACACAAACTTCCAAACTAAGTTCTGGGAATGTAATGTACAACATGGGGACTACAGTTAACAACAAAATACTGTATATTTGAAAGTTGCTAAGACAGTAAATCTTAAAAGTTCTCAATATACATACCAAAAACTAACCATGTGAGGTGATGAATGTGTTAACTAACCCTATTGTGGTAATCATTTCACAGTATATACACAAATCAAATCATACTGTACACCTTAAACTCATACAATGTTGTGAGTCAATTACATCTCAATAAACCTGGTGGGGGTGGGGTGAAATTAAAATTTAATTAAAAAAAAAAAAAGATCCGAGCATTGCCCCCTCCCCCGCAGGTCTCACTTGCCACCTCTGGGACTCGCTGCTGCAGGAGAAAACACCAAGGGGTCAGAGCAAGTCCTGTTCAGCCTGCTCTCAGGCTGCTGCCTGGGAGCAGCTGGGTTTTTAACTGCAGAAGAGCTGGTTGTCGCCTAGAGCTTAGGTGGATGGAAGGGACACAAGGCCCTGAGGACTTCCTTTGGGCTCTCAGAGCCCTGTCTTGGCAAGGAAGGGGGTGGGAGAAATAGGCAGGTGTAAGGAGCCAGCCCCTGCTGTGATCTATCCAGCATCAGCCATTGAAGGGGTAACTGACAGCAAACCCCGAACCAGAAGGTTCCAAGGAAGGAGTGGGACTACTTTTGATACTAGCTGACCATCTCCCTGGGCTCTCGCCTGGTTTGAGCTAATGAGGCGGCCGCTAGGGCAGAGACCCAAACTTTAACACAGTACAGTCTTCTAGAACCAGATCTCCCCCTCAGTCTTTCTCTTCCTTTTTCCCTTTGTCTTCACACCCATGGTTATTTTAACAAGGATTTACTGAGCAAAGACTATCTAGCCAGGAGCTAGGCACCACAGGAGAAATTTATTCATTTAACAAACACACAACATTCCAGACAGGGATCTGGGCCTGAAAAAAACCCAATCAATTCCTGACCGAAAGACCCAGAGAGTGAAAACAACCCAAATGTCCACTGATTGATGAGCAGATAAACAAAATGTGCTATATCTGTACAAGAGGATATCATTCAACTATAAAAAAAGAATGAAACATGCTACATACAACATGAATGAACCTTGAGAAAATCATGTTAAGTGAAAAACAATCACAAAAAAATCACATACTGTATGATTCCGTTCATATGAAATGTCCAAAATAGGCAAATCCACAGATAGAGAAAACAGATTAGTGGTTGCAGAGGACGGAGGAGCACTGCTAATAGGTACCAGGTTTGGAGGGAGTAATAAACATTTTCTAAAATTGATTGTAGTGATGACTGTTCAACTCTGAATGTACTGAAAACCACTGAATTGCATACAAGGGAGGGAATTATATAGTACATGAAATTACAGCTCAATAAAGCTAATATTTTTTTTAAATCCCTGCCTGATGAAGTAGAAGAGGGGAACCAGAATAATAAACAAAACATTTAAGTAACCATATACAGTATATCAAATATCAGCACTTTGGGAAAAAACAAAGTAGGGAAGGTAGACAGTACAAGGATGGCCATCGCAAATGTTACAGGATGCAGACCGTGCAGACAGATGGCTTCACTCAGGATGAAGACCGGCTGGCCCCAGTCCTCTGTCTGGGGGAACAGTGCTCCAGGCAGCAGCTCTGGGAAATTCTAGTGCTCACAAGTGCCTGGAACACAAGAGTCCAGCTAAAAGCAAAGAGCTCGAAGCAGCACTGAGTGCTGGGAGAAAGGGCAGCCCCCAGCTTGTCAGACAAGGAACTCCATGTGTGGTAAGGTTGTCTCCGGAACTACAAACACCAGTTTAGGAGCCAGTCAGTGCACGGTCCACATTAGTTCTAAAAATATCTGCTGAATGAATGAATAATGAATCAATGGGGCCTACCCTGAGGCTGCCTCCAGCCCTACCTGAACCCTGAGGTGCCTGTTACCTTTCCAACCCAGTTTGATGTTCCACTCATAGAAGAAAATCAGCTTCCCTTTGCGGCTGCTGCAGGAAGCCTCGCCTTCCACCTGCTTCAGCTCACTGATCTGGCAGCGACCATCCTCATTCTCCACGACGATGCCCACCAGGAACTCGCGGAGCTTCCCCTTGGACCAGCTGGTGGCATCTCGCTCTGTCCTGCCAGGAACCAGAAGGGCAGAGTCATGAATGGAAGGCCCAGGTGGTATCAACTGACCAGCCCAGATAAGCGTGGCTCCCCTCAAGGGCCTTGGTAGAACTGCCACCCTCAAACTTACAAACATGCTTCTCAAACCAACTTTCTCCCAAATATTTAATTCTCCTGCTCGGTTTCTTACGATATCATTAACCACTATATAAAGTAGTATTTTCGTCTTAAAAACACCAGCTTATTTGGGGAAAAGGCAGTCTAGCAATCTTCCTAGTTGGAAATGTATGGACTATATGAAAAGATGGTAATAATTGAAATAATTCTAACAAGACAAATTATCAAGGGTGTTCACACGTATTGTTTCATGCAATTTCCCTAAACAATGTTCCCATTTTGGGAAGTGGGGATGAACTGAGAGAAGTCTCTGATGTGCCTGCGGTGACAGGCCTGGTGTAGGAGAGGTCGGCTCCTCTGAGCCGAGGCTGGTAAATGACCCCTTCACAGGCCCAGGGCTTTGCTCTGCCTGGACCTGCCTCAGCATCAGCTTGATGGTCTGGAGATACCACAGCCCTCAGAGGGTCAAGGCAGAGAGCATCACTTCCTGAAGCTCTGGGGGAGGGAAGGGGGCAGAAATAAGCCAGTGTTCCAAATGAGGTACAAAAAGGATGGGTAACTGGTTCCAATTCCTCGAAGGCAGGGCTCACCGGAAGCCCATCCAGTTAGAAGCGGAGTTGAGATCCAAATTCCTGGTCTTTCCACCATGCACAAACCAAAACACACCCTTCCGCCCACACACACACTTTCTAGCTTCATTTTAACTTTCAGAAGCATCAAGAGGATTAGGTGTGGGAGGGGGAAGGGAAGCACTTAATTAAGGGTACAGACTGTCCAAGTTGAAGAGGTAAGTCAAAAACTATTCTGGGAGTCGAACTCAACTTTCAAAAGGAGGAAACAAGTCCCAGAGGCAGTGCACGCAAAATGCCAAATCTAGAGCCTCAGAGGGCTTTCCCAAGCCCAGAGGCTACAGATGAGCCGCACTTGAAGCAGATGGGGGAAGGGAAGGGAATCTTGTGCACCTGTGCAAGACCTCGCCCCTCCGAGGCGCCCAGGGACAAGGCTACCGTCAGCCCCCCAGCCCCAGGGCCCAGGGCGCCCGGTGCTCGCAGAGAGGCTCCCCCAGCCCGTCGACCAGCTCCGGAGGGAGGAGGCCCCGAACCGCGGCCCAGGCCCCGCCCGGCCGCACCAGTGCCAGTTGTTCACGTTGGTCCCGTCCTCCCTCTCCTCCACGATCCAGCGCGGGTCCCCCTGGCCCCACTTGGCCATGTCTGCGCTGGCAGGGCGCCCTCGGCGGAGAACAAGGCAGGGCCGCGGCGGCGGCGGCGGCGGACAGCGGTGCGGCTCTGTCGCTGACGTTTCCGGCTTCTCAGCCCAGGACCAGAGCTTTCGCGGCCCATAAAGTGCCAGAAATCCCCGCCCCTGCGCCGCTCCGCCTACCGCCCCACACCGCACGCCGAGCCGCAGGGCGTCGGGGAACCCGGTGCGGGTGCCGGGTCGCGAGGTGGGACGGGGCGGGGCCTGGTGTCCGGGGTTGCCCGGAGTGCCGTGGGCGCGTGGAGGCTCGGGAGACCGCGAATCGGGGCGGGGGCAGGGGGGGCGGCCAGGAGAGCTAGGGCCTGAGAGTCTGGGGTTGGGCGGTGTGTGGAAGAAGGAAGGGGGGGGCGGTAATGTCTGCGCCCGGGGGGCGGGGTTCGGGACAGTGTACGCTGCGGGGGGGGCGGGTGCGGAGATGTCCCAATACGCAGGGCTAATGGGGCGATCCCTCAGGCATGAGGCGGGGTCCTGGGGGCCTCGTCGGAGGTGTTGGAAAAGCCCCCGGGTCGCCGCTGCGGGACTCTATAGAAAGTGCAGGGGCCAGGAAGGGGGGAACCTCGGCTGCCTGCTGTAAAGGCCTGAGCACCCCAAGGGCTCATTATTACTACAATGATTGGTTTCAATGCTAGCAAGTGGGCGGCGGAAAAGAGGCGCCTGCCTGAGAGCCAGCCGTACTGGGGATGCAGACCCGAAGCGTCTCTCCAAGCTGTTATCAGCTGTGCTATTCGGTCCAGTCCAGGACGTGACCCAAGCACTTGATCACCGTTTGCTGTACAACCGACTTCTGAGGTCAGAGCGCGCCCAGGGTGCATGCGGTCTCCAGTGTGCGCGTGCTCGTTACACCATACTTCTGTTTTGTCTGAAAGTTCCTGCAGAGTTGGTGCACTGTGGTTCTCCCCTCATGCCTTTCCAACACCTGTCCAAGTAGCATGAGCTACCAAGTTCCCAGTTACTTCAGGAACGTTTACATTTTATTCATTTAATAATCCTTTACAGGTGACAAAAGAACGTTGTTGTAAGCGCCCATTATTGCAGCTTGATGCAATTTTACAATAATTAAGTGGATAATGATTTCTTTAACAAAACTTCCCCTTCCAGTAAACGCGTTGTACCCATTATTTGGAAGATGTTACTAAAGGGTCTGTGGATATTTATTTAGTATGGAAAACAAATATGGCAATGGAAGGGTGGAAGTACCTGACTCTTCTATTCCCTGGTTTTGACCTGTCCTTTGCCTTGTGCTCTGTGCTTATCAATGAGATAAAGTAACTAGTGGAGAACATTTTTCTCCTTTACTTACTGGAGCAACTGCACTTGTATCATTTTCCAATATCATTTTCCAAAAAGCTACAACAGTCATGCAAACAGACTGCTTCAAAGTATTTTGGCTCCGAAACAAAATGATGTTTTTATTTCACCTTTTACACTTTACTTCACCAAAGGCATGGACAGTTAAAACACGGTATCAAGTAGGAAAGAATTTCAATGGCAATGGTAGAGGGCACAGTTTTCTTGTGTATTAGCTGTGTGTCTTTTATCCAATTCATAAAGAGTATTAATGATAGACTATTACGTGGTAAGATTTAGATATGGATAATTGAAAATCATGGAGAAAAATAAGACCAGGAAACTTAGAAAGACAGAGGCTATAATCACTCAAATTTTATGTGGACAAAAAAATTTTTTTGCAGTATTTATACAAAAAGAATTACCCCAACGGAAACAATTATACTAAAATGTAAATGAAAAAGTCAGTCTATGTAATAATTGACCAAGAATTAAACTGGCCTAAAAGAATTTGCTCCAAAAAGTAATTTCACAAAGAAAACCTTCAGTATTAATATAATTATTATGGCCCCGGCCGGGTGGCTCAGATGTTTGGAAAGTCTTACACTGAAATGCCCCAGGTTTGATGCCTGGCCGGGACACATACCTAGGTTGTGGCCCCGGCCAGCTCACGTAAGGGGGAACCAATCGATATGTCTCACCCTCCCTCCCGCTCGCCCTCCCCCTTCCTCTTTCTCTAAAATCTCCACAGGTAAGGATTTAAAAAAAATTTTAATATAATTATTACAAAAATATTTGTCTTAAAAACACTGAGTCAAAGATCTCGAAGAAATATTTGTACACCCGTGATCATAGTAGCATTATTCACTGCATGAAAGCCACCCAAGTGTCTGCTGAGGGAAGAGTGAATAATAAGCAAAATGTGGTACAAACGTATAATGAAATATTAGTCATCCTTTAAAAGGAAGGAAATTCTGACATATGGTGCAACACGGATGAAACTTGAGACTCACATTATTCTATTCATGTGAACTTAGAATATAAACATTAAGTGAAATAAGACAAAAACAAAAAAAATGCTGCATAATTTCATTTCCATGAAGTATTTAGAATAGTCTAAATCACAGAGACATACATGAATGGTGGCTGCCAGGGGCTCTGGGGGAGAGGGACACGGGGAGTTACTGTATATGGGAATAGAGTGTCAGTTTCAGAAGATGACAAGTGCCCTGGAGACAGACGATGGTGGCGGTGGCTGTCCCACATTATGAGTGCATTTAACACCACTGAACTGTACTCTTAATGGTTAAGCTGGTAAAACTTGTTATTTTTTACCACAATAAAAAATTGGAATAAGACCCTAAACCAGTGAGAAAAAGATCATTGGGCAAGAGGATATTCATGCAGTATGAAGGTATATCACACACACATACCCACACAGTTTACTTGTTAACTACAAAAGGGAAATGTGATCTTTACAAGAAAGAAATCTGGCAACGGACCACTTTAACCAAAAATGGAACAAACTGACATATGTATACCATCCCCTGTGTGGTATTCCTGCCAAAAATGCTTAGTCTGAATCTAATCATGAAGAAACCATCAGAAAAGTCCAAATTAAGGGAAATTCCGCAAAATGGATCTAGCCTAGACTCTTCAAAAATAAACATTTCATGAATGTCAACAGAAGACTAAAGAGATGTGGCAAATAAATGCAATGCGTGGCCCTCAGTTAGCTCCTGGATCCAAAACAGTTTAAAACGACAGAAGTGGGGAAATCTGAATTGCGTTTCAGACTGCGTATGTACTTGGTAATATTGTGCCAATGTTAGACTTTCTGAGCCCTGAATTTCGGTTACAAAGGAGAACATTCTTGTACTTTGGAGATGCATGCTGAAATATCTATTAGTAAATATGATGTCTGCAATCGACTCAATTAGTTTAGAAGAAGAAAACCAGATAAAGCAAGTGAGGCAAAATGCTGGCAACCAGTAACTCTAGGTGAAGACTATCTTGAAAGCATCTTGCACTATCCTTGCAACTCCTCTGTAAGTTTGAAATTATTTCAAAATCCTCACAATGGGATGATCCCAGGCCACAGGGACTTCTCCCCATCAAAGGATGGCAATGCTCCCCAGTTAGCATTAGTTACACATTGTAAATTATATTGTCATTTATTCTTTCATATACTCAAGAAACATTATTGAACATTTGCCATATTCATGACAATGTGCTAGGCCCTTGAACCACATGCTATGTTTTCTGCTTTTTCTCTCTCTCACAGCCCCTGACACATTTCACAAACGTTTACTGCAGTGTTTGGATGACATTGTACTGGCCTGTACTGCCATATTCCAAATACAGACGGCACCTTTTAAACCACTGAAGCCAAGAATAATATAATCCCAGGACTTGCCTAACATGATAGGATATTTTATTGGTAATGGTAGTTTCTTTGTATTAGTCTTAAAAAGCAGGACTTGCCTAACATGATAGGATATTTTATTGGTAATGGTAGTTTCTTTGTATTAGTCTTAAAAAGCAGCTATTTCATCGTTCTGATATGTCAAGTTTGCAGGTTTGATCCCTGGTCAGGGCACATACAAGAAGCAACCAATGAATGCTAAGTAAGTGGGACAACAAATTGATATTTTTCTCTCTCTTCCTCTCTCTATTTAAAAATCAACATTTTTAAAAAAGCAGTTGTCCGTACGAGAAAGTTTTCAGGACTGAGTTCAATGGGATTATGTGTAGGGGACCCTTAGTCCTAGTCACTGGAAGTTTCCATGGTAACAATACTACTATTATTGGGCCATGAATGCCTGTCATCAGAGCATCAAGGACATGTGCTGTTTCCGAAGTTCCCTTGAATATCATTTACCTAACAGACATCTGCACAACCACAAATAACTTTATTCACATGTTAGACAGTGTTTGAGTAGACTGAGTTAAGGACACTTAATACAATCAATTTCTTGAACTCAGAAAAGAGTTTTAAAAAAAACTATAGTCAAGCTCTCAGTATTTTACTTTACAGAATTTTGCATGTAGCCCATGTCTTTCTGCACAAAGGTAAAATGCTATTTGCATTTGCTTCAATCCCTGTTCTTTTGCTATTTCAACATGATTTTTTACCCCCAGTCATCTCATTGTTAGTCAAAGGTTACATGTCTTTCACTCTCAGCCTTTTCTGAGCTTCATTTTCTCTCTTTATGTTCTTGAATATAGCTGTGAGGTGTAGGGTATTCCTTCCCAAGGTCCACAACAATTACCTCCCTAGAAAATGTTACTCCTTTTAAAGGTCTTTTGTTGTTATCAGCAACTGAAGGGCTTCTGCTGACAGGTATGGGTGGTTTTTGCAAATCATCCTGCAAGAGAATGGGACAAACAGTGTAAGTGATCAATGTACGAATACAACAAACCCTGCTTTTAAAAATATAGGTTATATGTACATAGAAACAGAATAGTATTTGTGATATAGAAAAGCAGTGACAATCCATTGTTTTCATGTGTCTATGGTTATAAAAGCATACTCTGACATAGTCAAATAGCATTTGGTAACATGTTATTCTCTGTATGGCAGTCAAACCCAAGAGTTGCCTGGACCGCCATTCTGTGTCCAACTGGGCACGGGCCTTGTGTTGGGAGGGCACGTGAGTTGTTCTTATTAGAGAGCCCCAAACATGGTGCACAAGAAAGCCCTGGTAATGTTTATGTGCTGTTGTAGAAGGAGCCTAGAATGTGAGAAGGGACACAAGGTCTGGTCCTGAGCTCAGCCATCGTGGAGGAATGACCTTCAAAAATTTATGTCATTTTCTCATTGTTGGATCCCTAGAAGATCTCCAAGGCTTCCTTCAGCTCTAAGATTCTAGGATTCTGAGAAAAGCAGCAAAATGAAGAGAATTATTAAGAAAAACACAAATGTAGGAATGAAAAATGAGTAAGTAGGCTTAGCATATGTAAATGGTTTGATAACATGAACCGATAAAGCCAAGAACAATGGTTTAAATGACTGTGGACATTGCACTCCTTCCAGGCACAAACCTAAATACAGCCAAGACCACCGCTTTCATGCCTAGCCAAGTAATTCACCTCCTTTTCAATCAAATTCTATACCGCCCCTTGAGTGGTGAAAAACCCATCACCTCTTGCTGATTTTCTTTAGTATTAGGATCTTGCTTCTCTTCTATTTTGCTCTCCACTTTGAGCTCCTTGTCCTCTTTGTCTTCTAAGAACGAAGCCACTGTTTCTTTACTCCGTCTCTGGACAAGAATGCCAGGCCTCATGACCTGCCTTATGAGAGTCCTAAAAAAAAATCAATCAGCAGGGATTTTTAAATTCACGCATATTAGCCCCCATTATCACACACACAAAAAAGGTTTTCTACAGCATCCTATGATAGACTTACTTTTCTTGGTCTCCTGAATTGTTTTTCTCCACATTAGCAGTTAAACAGTCTTCACAAGGACCTTTCTCTGTCTTGTCATCTTCTTTGCTTTGGGAACTGAAACTGAATAAGCAAAAATTTACATTTAAGGAGAAAATTAGCAACTCTAAAACCCTGGATGGAGAAAGTAGATAGCTACAGCATTATTATTTGCTCTATTTTGTTTTATATTATTTCTAGATACATTTGCTAGTGTGACTTGAAACCTGATCCCAATTTATCATCATGGATTTATACCATCTATATAAAAACATCATCAGTAAAAGTAGGATGCAAATGAAGCAAATCAGTAGGATGATGATGAAAGTAACTGCTGTGGTTTCAAAGCTCATAGGCTTAGGAGGCAGACTCATTCACTCTCGCAATTGCCGTTTGTCCAAATGTTCTTTTCCAGCTCAGTTTGAATATAGATTTCTTGTTCTTTCAGTTTTCTAGAAACAGAAGAATAAAAGCCTGTTTTCATTGTTGTTCATTTGACCAGCTTTGTAAAAGATGCTCTGCTTGTTTCGGTGGAGATGACTCACACAGGCTAATTTTTCTCCATAAATGCGGTGGGGGGCTGAGGTGGCTGGAGGGGAGACTGAGCTGAGACACTTGCGGTCACTCAGCTCACCTCCCCTCATCCCAAAAACTATCAGAATCCAAAGGAGAGAGGAACTGGAGCATCTGGAGCTGAGCCCAGCTCCCCATTCTTCTCTCTTCAGTGACATCACAGAGTCACGGAACCATGGTATTAGAGGGACTAGTGCCAGCATGACCCCGCCCATCACCTGGAATCAGGAAATCTGTGAAACACTCCTCTGGGCTGCTGTCTGTGTGTTCCACTGGCGGGGGTGGGGGGTGGGGGGGATAGGGGTGTGGTGTGGAGGTCACTTAGCATCATCTTGGCCACTTGGACAAAGATTTTCTCCCTATTCTCAAAACACCACCCTTCCTTTCTTAACCTGAGCCTGCTTACCGTACTTTTTTTTCCACTGATCATAAACAATCAGTCCACTTCTTTCTTATAAAACCCCTCTCTATTGCCCTGATGGTGTTCTCTTTAGGCCTAATAGCCCACATCCATCTAATCCCACACCAGTGGACTTGCTTCCTGGACACACAAGACCACTGGCAGCTCTGGGGTCATGACTGAGGGAGCGGGAGCACAACAAGATGTTCGGAGGAAAGATGACCCCGGACCCATCCTAACTTCCAGTGAGAGCATGCTGCCCATGACAAGGAGAGGGAGGGCAGAGCTCGGGTTATCTGAGAAGAAAAAGAGGCTACAAAGGAGGAAGGCAGCTGCTGCCAATCATATCTGTAACAGCCAGAGGTGAGCTGTGGGGATCTCTGGGCCGCAGGGACACTGGCTGCCTTCCAGGAAGGCAGGGACTGTGACTGCCTTATCTTGGGGCACTCCATCAAGACAGGGCCCGAAAATTCCACAAATGTTGAGTAAATGTGTGTGTGTGTGCGCGCATGTGCGCGCGTGTCCACAAGTAGTTTGCTGGAGGGCTCAGGCCAAGGGCGATTTTGCAGAATACGTGAACTTTTGAGACACTCATGGCAGTCAGTAGAACTCCTGGATGAAGCCTCCTCCAGCCAACACTCCCAGATGAAGACTCAGAGACACTGCTGTCAGCCTGAGACTTTATGAGCCCAAATCTTGGAGGCCTGGCTGGGTAGCTCTTTCGGTTAGAGTGTTGTCCCAATATGCCCAGGTTGTGGGTTTGATCCTTGGTCAGGGCACATACAAGAATCAACCAACAAATAACCCAAATGAGTGCATAAATTAAGTGGAACAATAAATCAATGTCTCTCTCCCTCTCTCTTTCTTTCTCTCATCGATAAATTTAAAAAAAAAAAAATTTAAATGTCCAAATCCTCTCATGTCTCAGATCTTTCTGGGAGATGCGGGGTATTTCATACCTATCTATGGGTGATTACACAGGTTTAGACATATGTAAAAACCCATGAAATTGTGTACTTAATACACTTCATGCCCTCTACTGTGTGGATACTATACATAAATAAAAAAGAAAAAAAGGCCCCTGTCCCTGTACCTGAATTTGAGTGTGGGAGGCGCAGAGTAGTGCTGGCCTAGAGGGCACTGCCACTAGTTGGTCCTGCCTTCCAGAACGTTCTCCATGCATCCTCTGAGGCCAGAGACCTTTAGCAAGGACACAGCTGTAACGAGTAAGAGCTGGGTAAGACCTTACCCTCTGGTAAGGCTTTCTTCACTGAATGTGGTTTGGGAATCAATATCTGAAATTTATATATATAGTTAACATAATACAAAATATTACAGTGGAAGGTTATCCAGCTTAGGTCTCTAAATCACACATTAAATGAACGAGACTGCAACTTCATGATGCCACGGGATTTTAACCCAAGCTGGTCTCAGGGGCCTAACCCTGTGCTTTGCTCTCAGAAGGATTATACTGAGAAATTGTTTGTGATAGGACATTTCTAACAATAGTACAGAAACAGAAAACATTCTGAGAGTACCATGAACAACTGCATGCTAACAAATTGGATAACCTAGCTGAATGAAAAAAATATTCCTAGAAAGATAAAACTAACCGAGGTTGAATCATGAAGAAATAGAAAATCTGAGAGAATTATACTAAAAAGACTTAATCAATAGTCAGAAGATCTCCCAACAACAGCAAAGACAAAAAAGTCCTGGACCAAGTGTTCTCACTGGGGAATTCTATCAAACATTTAAAGAACTAATACCAATCTTTCTCATATGCTTCCAAAAAATTGCAAAAAGTGGAATACTTCCTAACTCATTCTATGAGGCCAGCATTGCCCTGATAACAAAGCCAAAGACAATAAAACAAAGAAAAGTAAAGACCAATATCCCTTATTAATATTGAGGCCAAAATCCTCCACAAAGTACTAGCAAACTGAACTTGGCGGCATATTAAAAGATAATGTGGTCATGACCAAGTGGTATTTATTCCCAGAATATGAGGGTGGTTTAACATACAAAAATCAATGTAATATACTGCATTAACAGAATAAAGGGAAAAAATACATTACTATCTCAATTGATTCAGCAAAGGCATTTGACAAAATTTAACATCACTTCATAATAAAAACATTCAACAAAGTAGCAATAGAAAGAAACTACCCCAACATAATAAAGGCCACATATAGAAACCCTACAGCTAATATCATACTCAATGTTGAGAAAATACTTGCAAATCATATGTATAATAACAGATTGTTATCCAGAATATAAAGAACCCCTACAATTTGATGACGACAACAACAGACCCAGTTCAAAAATGGGCAAAGAACTTGAATAGACATTTCTCTATTATGGAATTTATAGAGACATGTCTCTATAAATAGACATTATGTATCTCTAAGAAGATACATAAATGGCCAAAGACCATATAAAATGATGCTCAATATCATTAACAATTAAGAAACAAATAAAATCCACAATGAGATACCACTTTATATCCATTAAGAAGGCTATCATTAAAAAAAAACTAAACAAAAATGACAAGTGTTGGTAAGAATGTGGAGAAATTGGGGCCCTTGTGTATTACTGATGAGAATGTAAAATGGTGCAATTGCTGTAGAAAACAGTATGACAGTTCCTCAAAAAATGAAACATAGAATTACAAATCATTCAGCAATTCCACTTTGGGCCATATAAGTGAAAGCAGGGACCTGGACAGACATTGTACACCCAGGTTCATAGCAGTATTATTCACAATAGCCAAAAGGTGGACACAACCCAATTGCCCACCAATAGGTGAATGGACAACCAAAATGTGGTATATACATACAAAGGAATGCTATTCAGATTTAAAAAAGAACAAAATTCAGCCCTCACTGGTGTGGCTCAGTTGATGGAGAGTTGTGCTGTACACCAACAGGTTGTGGGTTCGATTCCCTGTCAGGGCACATACCTAGGTTGCGGGTTAGATCCCTGGTTGGGGCACATATAGGAGTCAACCAGTCAGTATTTCTCTTTCTCCCGTTTTCTCTTTCTAAGAGCAATGAAAACAATGTCCTCAGATGAATATTGAAAAAAAGAAAAGAATAAAATTCTGATACATGTTACATATAGATGAACCTTAAAGGCATTATGCCAGGTTAAGTAAGGCAGACACAAAAGGATACATGTTGTATGATTCCACTTATATCAGATATCTGAAACAGCCATATTCATAGGTGCAGAAAGTGGAATTGAGGTTACCGGGTGCAGGGGGGAAGGGGAGATGGTGAGTTATTATTTAATGGATAGAGTTGCAGCTTGGGAGAATGGAGACGTTATGGAGATGAATAGTGGGGATGGTCGCACAGCAATGTGAATATACTTAAGGACACTAAAGTGTACACTTAGAAATGGTCAGTTTTGTGTTGTATATGTTTTATCACAATTCAAAAAATATTTGTGAAACAGAAGAAAGGGAACCCATCTATAAAGTGGCCTGGTACGTGGCAGGCACTGGAAAAATAAAACCAGCACAAAGAGATCTTGTTTCAGTCTCCATCCATCAGCTTATTTTGTTTCCCCACTGAGAATGCCCTAGCCCCGCCCTCAGTCCTTTACCTGTCTCCACCTCTAAGTCCTCCAAGGCTTGGTCTGGGGCTGCTCTTCCATGAGGCCATCACCATCCACTGGGCTTCCTTTCTTCCTCACTCTTGCTAAGCTGCAACTGCAGTTCAGTGACACCCCATATCACCTACCGCATCCCAAGCCCCTGCCCTGCCCAGCTCCAGCTGCAGGCATGCTGGGAAGTGGTAGAGAGCTTCACATCCTTTGTCATTTCCCTCCTCCCACCTCTTTTATTCTTTGACATCAGGCTCCCAGGGTCCTGCAAATTTCATTCTCTCCTGTTATCAAAGCCTGCTTTTTCTAACCTGCTTCTTCACCCCAACACTTCCTTATAGAAATTTAAAGTGTTTCCACTTTCAAGGATATTTGTATTTTAACAAGGGCTTAAGCGAAAGCAAGACAGTCGGGGTAGAATTTCAGGTATCAGCCAGACGATAGGGAGCTCCCGTTGGAGCCAGGAGGGCTTTTCTGGCTCTCCTGGCATCTGCCGCATTGAGGTCAGATCTGGACTCCTCCTTGGGGGAGCAGTTCTGCCCCGCCTCCCCCTCCTGCCTTCAGGCTTCTTTGGGGTAGTGGCCAGAAGATGGGCACTCCTGGTGACAGCATCTGCAGCATCTTGTGCTCCAAGCAGGTCCAGGGTGCATATGAATCCCCACCCACCTCCCTAAGGCCTGAATATACATAATCTGATGAGATCCTTTCACAAAAGCATGATCTGCGAACTACAGGATAAAGATGAGGGCATTCAGAGGATTCACAAATCAC